CAGGGGTGGCCAGACTGGGACCACTACTCACACAGGGGTGGCCAGACTGGGACCACTACTCACACAGGGGTGGCCAGGAATATTACATCATTTTTTTACTTGAAAATTTCTGCAGATTTTTTGTTTTTTGGTCATTTCCTTATGTTTTAATACAGGCAGTGACTACCTTATAAACATGTGCATCAGAACCATTTTAAAAGTGGGGGGACACACTGTTGGGGGGTCTGGGGGTCCTCCCCCAGAAAAATTTGGACGAAATAGATGCCATTTCCTGCATTTTGGTGTATTTTACCAGGTTGTTAAACCTACTTTTACCAACTTAAATTAACACTTGATTTAATTATTTCAGAGACAAATTATTCATTAAACTAGTTCCATCATCCTGTTTCTAAACTCAGTGCTACATCTGAGATAAGATTAATTAATGTGTCACAGTTTATCATATCCAATGACTTTAGGGGTGCTTTTTACTTTTATATTGTTTATTGATTGTAACAAGTCATTGTGCCAAATCATGATGACCCCTAACTGCATGTTTAAAACTAATATTATAAATTTTACCCAATGAATTAAGAGGGATGTTTCATTTTTTCTGATTTAGTGATAGGGCTACTCATAAATAGACCATCATGCAGCCTTCATAACAAAAAATGACACTGTAACGGTGACAAAAAATAAATAAAATAAAACATTTGCCACCATAAGTCCAAAAGTTGACACCATAAAGGGCTCGACACACGGGAGGCGACGTCGCTCGCTCTCCATTCATTTCCTGTGGAGCCTGTGCGGTGAGGCGACAATCGCTCGCTCTCCTCCAGCTAAGCGACCGGCGAAAATAGTGCATGTGAAATTTCGCGCTCGTACATGTAGAGTGCACACACGAGCTTGCGACACGACAAATGAAAGTTGAAAAATGTTCAACTTTTGTCGCTGTCGCTTAGCGTACAAGCAATCAGCGAGGGTTTCATTGACTGACCAATGAGAGGAGAGTATGCTACACACTGCAGTTAGCTAACACTTTCACCAAGTGATTACTAAAAAGCTTTGTGGGAATTTATTGGCACCAGGGTGAAGTTTATGGTAAGTTTTTCCTCATAAAACTACCTTGATGTGTGTTTGTTTTTCAATATCATTAGCATCGCAAGATTTGTTTAGTTTACATGTCCGTAATGCACACCCGCCTTCAGAGTTAAGAACCAATCAAATTTTGTGGAGACGAGCGATCTGAGAGCGCGATTCACAACGCTGCGATCGCTATTGCATCCCGTGTGTCGGGTTTCATCCTGGCTGCGATGACAGCCGTTAATCACTGTAGTTTGTCGCTGCCCGTGTGTCGAGCCCTTAAGTCAGATTACAGGCATAGGATCTGTATATAAAGAAACCCATCACTTCCGTGTCATTAGTCTTCTTCAGTGACAGAGCTTGGTGATGTTTCAAACTGTTAAACACTGCCACCACCTGTTCAGGAGGATTATTACACCCCTAAATGTTGTTTCACTGTGGAAGGGGTGTGTACATCAGGGTGGCCAATGGGGTGGCCAAAGGTTTGTCTATGGTGGCCATGGCCACCCCTGGCCACCCCCTGGCTCCGCCCCTGGCTGGAGGCAGCAGCTGCCTCCAACCTGCAGCAGCCCACTGGACACATCGATGTGTGAATAATTCATCAGATAAACAAGCTTTTCCTTCCTCACCGCTGCCTGCCTTTATCTTCTCAGGAACAAATATTCTCCACCGATGCCCCCCGTAGACCTCTTTGATTTCTTTCCCCTGAACCAACACAACGAAAAGTTTCACCTTAAAACGATTTTTAACCCAAATCCTGAAACGAGTACCAATCAGATCCTCGACTGCAGCCACACTCGTGTTGGTTCTGCAGGTTCAATCCAAATCAATTTCTCTGAATCAGAGGTTCAACAGAATCTAATCATGGACCCGGTGGATCAATAATGCTGCGGACAGACACACACTCACACACACACACAGAACACAAGGTCTGCAGCAAGCTGAATAAGACTCATGGGATCAGAAAAACGTTGTTGAAACTGATTAATCAATGTTATCGATTATCTACTCTTCATGTGTGTCAAAAGAAAGCTGCAACAACAAGGCCTCTCTTATTTGGAAGGAAACAACTTAAAGGGGACATATCTGCAAAATCCACCTTTTTTTTTTTAGCTATTAAATACGTTTTGTTGTGAACTTGGAGTCTCTAGAGGCAAATATGTTTAATTTAGTCTCCTGGTGCTGCGTTTATATCTTTATATTCTGTTTGGGTCAGACTTTTCAACCCGTTCAGTTTTTTAAATGATGTTTTCTGAACTTTTACGTCAAAATTTTTGCAGCAGAGCTGCTAAATAAAGTCCAGACAACTACAGTTTGGTGGTCTTCATTCTCCTCTGGCTCCAACATGTAAGGCTTGATGGACAAATCTTCTCTTGTTGACATCATTAATTCATTTGTAAATAAAATGTTTCTGCGCTGCTGTAGTCTTTTGTTGATTTAAAAAAACATTTCATACCATTGACTACAGTATCCTTCTGGAGAAATTAAACAAATATGGTATACGAGGTCCAGCACTACAGTGGGTATCAAGTTATTTAACCAATGGGAAACAGTTTGTACAAAATAATGGTGTAAAATCTGAACTTTGCAATATTGTATGTGGGGTTCCACAGGGTTCTATATTGGGACTAAAGTTGTTTCTTCTATATATTAATGACTTGGTAAATGTAATCAGGGTTGTTTAAATGTGTTTTATTTGCCGACGACATTACATTATTTTTTTGCCTGGGTAAGAACAGATGTTGGAAATGATGGAAATGGAATTTGCAAAAGTACAAAATTGGTTTAAACATAATAAATTATCATTAAATTTGGATAAAACAAATTATATGATATTTAGTAATAGAAATAAATCAATTGATGCTCCATTTAGAGTAGAAGGTGTTGAGATCAGTCGAGTCAATGAGGTGAAGTTTTTGGGTGTCTTCATTGACGAAAAACTGACATGGAAACCTCATATAAATAATTTAAGAACAAAAATGGCAAAATCTATTGCAGTAATGAATATAGTTAAGGAGTTATTTAATGGTTAAGCACTATTTATTACACTATATAATGCAATAATTGTTCCACATTTGATTTATTGTTTAGAAGTCTGGGGAAATGCATGTAAAACCATTACTAATCCTATTTTCATTTTACAAAAAAGAGCCACAAGAATTATCATTAGAAAGCATTATCATCACCTTTCAAATGTAATGTTTCATCAATTAAAATTGTTAAAATTTCATGAGTTGGTTGATTATAACATTCTGCAGGTTATGTATAGAGCTCATAGAAATGTGTTGCCGTCAAACATCCAATCACATTTTGTTTTACTTTTTATTGTATGAAATGTTTTGTTTATTTTTTTTATGAAATGAATAAAAAAACTCTATGTAACTAGAATGGATCAGTCTGGAAGATGGATAGGGCGGGGCTTCAATATACAAATTCAACAGAAGGTGATCTGAGACACGCCCCAAAAAATGGGCGGGGCTTTTGAAGTTAGAGCATTGTATTTCCACTTTTTAAAGACCCCAACTGAAGGATTTAAATGTGGAAAAGAAGGATTTAAAAGCATTTTTTAAAAAGTTTTAATTGCCTGAAACTGGACTTTAATGACAAAGTTGGACTTTAATGCTAGTTGTGGCAAAAATACAAGTGAGTAAAATATTTCACGACAATTTAGGTAAATTAAATCTTATCAAAATGATCTACTGCAGCTTATTATTTAGTATAAATACTCAGAAACCCATCCAGGCACTTTCCATATCCAAGAAGACCAAAAACAAAAACATTGTCATTTTTCTCCCACGAGGCTGGTCATTAATTAAAAGCTGAGGTTACAGAGCAGATTAAATGTGTTGTGTTTAGTTTTCTTCTCTTCTCTGTTGTTTGGTGAGGATGTAAAACGACAAACAGCTTGTTACTGTTTGAGGACTAAAGAGGCAAACATTCTCCGGCTGCCAAAAAGCAGCAGGACACTCGGCATCGTCCAACGCCTCGCCGAGGATCTCTGCGCTTCTCGCCGCGACATTACTGTGTGGATAATCAACCTTTACAGCATGACGGTGATTCACTGACATGTTCAGGCTGAAACACACGCAAAGACAAAGACGGACAAAATGTATGCAAAGAAAATAAAGGTCCAGACAAAAGGGCCAAACGTTTGACCAGGATCTGCTCATCACACCTGCTGAATGTGTGTATGTGCTGCAGGTAACAGTGTTCTTTTTATTTATTTTTTGATCGAACATGCATAACTTCTCTACTTGGTTGCCGACAGTTGTATATCAACCAGAGTAAAAATTAACAGCCTCAGCTCATGCCAACCTATTTGAAGTCGCTGCTTCAACGACTTCAGGAGAAAAAATAATAATCGTGATGAAATTCTGGTGCAATTTCTCAGTTAAAACAGATTTCCCAGACAGATTAAAAAAAAGGCAAAACTTGTCCCTGTTCATGCTCCTTTTCATCTCCTGCCAACTTTAAATTCTTCTTTCTTTCTTTGCCTTTTACCTGCTCTATTCATACCCTGACTCATAATTCACCAGATTAAAGTGTGCGTATTTAGGAAGAGCTGAGCGAGAAGCCAGGGTACTGTCGGCAACAGGACAGAAGCAAAGACAGTCTGTAGAAATCAAAATAGTCCTCATTATTATTAATATAAGTCTCTTATTATTACTGTCTTTATTATTATTACTAGTATAAGTGGTATGAGGAGAAAACAAAGTTCCTTGGCCCTTGCTGATGCAGAGAGAGAGGGTGCAGGCTATTGACAGCAGAGCAATAGTTTCCATGCTGTTCCCTTTTAATCCAGTCCTGAGTTAAATCCATCATCCCGGAGGTAAAGGTAAAATACTCCTTTTGGGTAAAAAGGGTAGTTCCGTTCAAATTCAAGTGGTTTTATGAAGATTTGAATCCCTTCTTTTTATTCCATCAC